AGTGCGCCCTACGGGTGTTTATTAGCAAGTGCCTTCAGATCGGATATGTATAGAGAATCTAGACAGTAGATAATTACCTCTTCAATTCATCTCTTTTCTCTTTTCTCGTGGTAAATTTGCAAGTTGTATTACGACGCAGGCATTGTATACATGTTGCGCCGGAACCTTCGGTCTCGCACTTAACCTTTTTCTTATAACACGCTTCGCACGCCTGCCACCATAAGTTCAACTGATGTACATCCAAGAGCGGGAGAGGATGTCGCTCACCAGTGGGTTGCGCCTCCGGCTACTCGGATCTTGGCCGCCGTGGGTGCCTGCACCCTTGTGGATGATGGGATGATTATCTTGCACACTCCATGAGGGCAACAACCCCGCAGCTACTTCTGAGTCCTGCATGGCTTTGTATGCACAAAGCAACTGTTTACTGTGACCATGAGTAAGGAAGGCCCATAGGGGGGCTTAGTGGACCGGATGGAGACAGAGCAGCCAGTCGTCTTGTCTGTGATAAAAGCACTAGAAATTATGGCCGGTATTGATTGGCTGACAGTTATGAAAGCATAGAAGCCGGACACAAAAATGAAAAGCAAACTAGAAACATTCAAGGCGCTCCGATCACACAAGCAATGATATACACAGGAAAACGGACGTTAGTTGGAAGCTGACGGCGCGCCTATGACAGCGCTTCACGCGATGGATCGAATATGGCACAGCCGGTCCCGCTTAGCGCTGGATTTTTCGGGTGAAGTGGCGTGTAGCTTATTCCGCCCAGCAAGCGATGGGAAAGGGGAAGGTCGATGTAGAGCAAGATCAGGGACGATGTGTCATATACTGTGTTTGTAAAATGGATCCTCCGATCACTTTGGCTGATATTACAGCAACTGCCAGCAGATGACCAACGTTGGGCAAGATTTTTCCTTTTTCCTCTTGAACAGCCAACCGAGGGTCATCGCCAAGATTATTAATGACGCTCTAGCCTTTGAGGCGCTCGGCGGTCGGCACTCGGTCGCTTCCGTCTCCGTCGGGCTCATTGGCGCCGATGGTTCGTTTCGATTGTGTCTTTAGTCCGTTCCAGAAGGACTGCTCTTTGAACCCTGGCGCTTGCTCGCTTTGAGAATGACTGCACCCGTTTAGAATCTTAACTGCTTTGTGTCAAAAATATAGTGACGTAGTTGAATTGTATAGGATTCTTTACGGCTAGAATCAATGATTCCTTTGAAATCGTCGGTAATGCCACTGTTGGGTTGATAACTGAATCGGTTTAGAATCCCTGTCAGCTACTAACTCGATGCCTGCTCGCACTTGTTTGCTCTCAATGAACCAAACGCATACCTTTTATAGCTCCAGGTCTCGTTGCTACACACGCGTCTGCCATTCGGACGAAATACTTCTAGATCCAGTAGGATACCTTCTATCTCATTGGGCGTGGTTGATGCCACCGAACGCTGCAAACCCGGGTGTACCAATGAGCATGGCTCCTTCGACTCCGATGGAGGTAGAATGATCTCTACCCAGTAGTTGCACTCGAAGCAACGTGGGCTTCCTTCGTGGCCTGAAGATGATTCGAATAACCCTATAAATGCTTGCCACCTATTGCCATTACAACGCGCAGGCATGCGAATCTCTCCCTTGAGTTTTTCTCCAGACGACCGCTCTTTCTCAGGCCATTTTCCGCGCTTCGTGGATACTTTTAGAGAGGAGGGTGATCACTAGCAGAAGCTCATTGTTAGCACGATAGAGGATTAAAGCAAGTGATCATGCGGGCTGGTAGCCTTACGAACCCATAGTTGTTGCAGCGCCTAAGGTTTGGGTTAAGGTCAGAATCCGATCAGATAAAAGCCTGCATCGGGGTTTCATTGGACTTTCCAAGTCAAGAAAAGCCCAATCCCCCCCCGCATTTCGTGGAAGATGCAGCGCTTTTCCCTCTCTGCCTCCTCAACGAGTAAGATTGAAGTTGCCTACTCTGCTCAGCTGAAGGTCCCGGGAGCGGGAGGTGTGACATGTCATATTGGGACGTAAACGGATTATCCAATGGATAGGTGCTCATCTGTTTGATAGATGTACCAGAGCTTGGTAGAAGACGTACACGCTATTAAGTGAGCCGTGTTCGTTCTCGTCCTTGTCTTTCCTCTTCCTCCTAACATGATGACAACTGGACTCGGTAAACGTAGTATAGATTCTTGTCTGGTAAAATTGAATCACCTTTTCCTGCTCCATCCGGAAACCTTCGAAGAGTTAAAAATAAGCAAGTATACGCGAGAAAGAAAGAGAAAGAAAGCTTGACGGTCAAAGGAGAGATGGATCGTAACTTCCGCGTTGGTAAACATTGGAGCACGTGCTAGTTCATCAGCCGGTGTAGTTATTGCGTACCGTCTCTACAACAACAGACAGTTGCAAACAATTAGCATTCGTAAACCATACCCAATTAGACTACTGCTGTTGTAGAACTCCGACGTTCGCAACTCTACTATACAAGCTGGCGTAGTATAACATAATCCAGCCGGGGGCGATGACTAGTGACCATCGTTGTACTAGGCAGGTTACGGCTACTCTAGGCTTTAATTGTAGTAAGTGGCAACCTACGCCACTCAAGTAGCAGAGGGCTAGAAAGTCCTAATCAGCTCACGAAACTTAAAAACACGCAGCCTGGAGCGGGATCTCTCGTGGTCATGTTGGATTTTACGCCTGGTCTCTTCCTAGTGGGTATGTATACATTCCGAAAAGGTAACATGGCCCGAACATACGAGCCCTAAGGGCATTGCTACTGCGCGAGTAAGACATGAGCTGAGATTTCATGGAAAACTTCTTCTTGGCAAGTGGGCAGGAAGAATTCAAGCATGAAGATGGGTGGCATGGGGCACGAATTGGCAGTGGAGAATCAACTTCCAGCGGCGCAGTAGGCGGTTGGAGAAGTGGATAGTAGCCTATCCAGTCGGCCGCGGAAAAACCTATTAGGTTGTCGACGTGGTAAGCCTTCTTTACGTAGGTTAATGCATAGTTGGAGTTATTGTGGTCCATTGCGGCGCCGAGATGGTCCCGAGAAGAGGACATCCACTCTCCGTAAGATTCGAGACTTTTCCGTGGACCGTGTCATCCATCGGAAGGTCTTTCTGAATGACAGCAGGATGTAGTGGGTACAGAATGGTGTGCTAGGTCAGTCGCACCTACCGGAGTTCTCCCGTCACTCAGGGACCATTTGACTAACCAGTCAACACAGTGCGTAGTCTGTGGTGACCCGCGAAAGAAGAAGTGTAATTGACAGCAACCGCATGGTCCAGATAATGCACATTGCGGGAATTGTGCAACGAAACCAGTGCAGGTGTAAGGACCGTACTTAAGTATACTCTGCAGGCCAGTCGAGGACGCAACTAACCAAATCCTCGGAACTCGACAGGACTATGTAAGGGGAGAAAGATCTTCCCACCTGAAGGACAACCCGTTTAGGGAGTTGGACTGGGGAGCAGTGTGGTCGATCGGTCTGATCATAGCCAAACAAAGATGGCCATCAGCACCGTGAGGTCATATTCCGCCGTGGAGCGCGGGGAAAGCAGTCCCTCCAGTAGAGATAGAGACCGAGGAGCAAGAAGATGGATTCAGGAGACGGACGGAAGCGCCAAGCTTGCATGTTAGTAGTAGTTATGGTTAGTTGACCAGATGCCTCGAAAGTTCGATCGAGGAAGCAACGGCCGGAAGGACCGCGTCATTCAGCAACGCGTTTAACTGATTATGATTTGCTCCGAGCAATAGTGAAACGGCAAAACAGAATATCCCAGGGCTCGGACAAAGGTGCTTTTGTGAGAGCAGTGGAGAAACCAAGGTCTGGCTCAGCGATGGGTGGACTGGAAGAGAATATTAATATCTGGGAGGAGACAGTGCATAGGGAAGGGGATTGGCTCCTGGTCCAACCCCTGGTGGGAAGCTAACCCCAAGACGGGCCACACTAATCTGCGGCGGATAATGTTAGATTGAAGGTCGTTGGCTCTCTGTCACGTTCTCGTAACGGAGATGTTGGATTCATAGTTAAGCCACAATAAAATGTGGGTATCAAAATTACCCATGATTACCAATTAGTTCTCCGTGCCGTGGCACTTCCCCTTTTTCAGTGGTTGGAGTGGGCGGGACTGGGAGGGACTTTTCGCTCCTCTCGGACGGCGTTCGCCTGTCTTTGTCGCATCTGGGCGATGATCGAACAGGTTGACGTCCGCATTGTACTGTAAGTAGTAAGTAGTTGTAGTTAGTAGTTAGTTCCGTTACTGTGTCGTACCCAGTGCCGTGCTCCTCCCCCCCTCCTCTCCCCTACTACCCGGGCCTTCTCCCTAACATTCTGGAATGAGTAAGTATAGTAAGTACTGTAGTAACTGGTATTATTTTCCCCCCCTCTGGACCACGCACCCCCTTCTTTCCCCAAAAATCTATCCGATCCAATCTTCTTTCGTTTTATCTTTCCCACCCCTCTCTCCCCAACTTTTCTTTCCTTTCCCCTGGAAACTATATCTATCTAACCATCCCATCTCCTCTCCCGCTCTCCGGACTCCTCCGCAACTGCCCGCCTCCCAAAGCGGTGAAATCATTTGGGCATTTCCGAGGCTGTGACTGGCCAACCACAGCGTGCGATCACGACATTTCTCCATTCTATCAGATCATCCACTAGCCTTGCCCGGGCATGAGACGATCACCACAACTGCGTGGTCCTTCATGCTTATTCCCCGGCCTGACGCTCGTTTTTCTCATCTTTTCGCCCTGGTGATACATGGTCCTGCTTGCTGGTCGTTTCCTCCTTCTGCAACTAACTCTAGTACTCACCTGAAATCCCACCCCTCTCTTTAATCTGGCCACGCTTGGTCTCGATCCACATCGCAACCTGACTAGCTTTCCCGGTCGCCCCCTTCTACCCTCCTTCCCACTCATCCCTCCCGGCCCATTGTCCCATTACTGCTCGTGCTTCTCTGCGTACGTGGCTAGCCGTCCCGGGCCATACCATTGTGAGCGATGGAGTGAATGCAGAACAGATATCTTTGCTACAAGTCACCCAATCTGCATCCTGTGAAATATTCCTGCCAACCTGTATTATCTCCGAACCTTACTTTTCCACTCGCAGACACACTCACACACACCCCTTCCCCTCCTTTTTATTTTTATTTTCTTAGACACGCTGATCTGGGGTTTGACATCGGCTTGTCAATTCTGTACCATTCTGTTGTCATCTAAACCACTTCTGGATCCTGCCTGTCCGGGACGCAGCCACCAAGCAATTTGGGAGGCCGGCGGTTACGAAAAAGAAAAATACCCAAAAACGAACCTAATTTAGAGGGCAAGGGCCGGAATCCCTCTAAATACCTCTCCTCCACTGCCAATATGTCAGATGAGCACCTCGCTCGTCAGACAGCCTCGAGCTTCGATAGGCTTGAAAACTTCAACTTTCTTCTCTCTCGACACGATCCTAACTTGGCCAAGAGTCGTCACTATTCCTTTGATGCAGATTCTGCCGGCCTGGCTGCCTTTTCGAATCTGAACATGGATTACGATCAGACTGAGGGGATGGGCGGTCTCTCCGTCAGTTCGTATGATAGCATTGAGGACGAACGCAGTCCGATCGATGTGCGCGGATATCCGTATCATGGTAAGTCTCCCAAGATCTATGACTCTCATCGTTGCATCGTTTGCGCAATTTTCGTGCTTTGTGGTTCGCTTTAATTTCGCTAGCCCTACGGCATTGGATGGCTTTGTTATGCTGGAAAGTTGCTGTGGAAGCGCATGTAACCGCAGATGCCTTGTCCCTGTTGCTTGTGACCAGATTGTCTTGAACATGATCCTCCCTGCGTCCTTTAATTCTGGCTGCCTGAGAATGGCCACATTGAATACCCTCTGTAACCACTTTTCCCCCTTTACTTTTTCGGGGGAGTTCTCTGGATTCTGTTTAATTTTCGCTGCATTGCGAAAATTCTGCAGCTCCGGGACACCTTACCCACCTTGGTTCTATTTCTATGCTTTTCGCTCGTCTTTGGTGTCTTTAGCTTGAGGTTTTGGTGGGTTGCCATCCCCATGTCTGGATGAGCGCTCTATTTGAGCACGCAATCGTTCACACCAATGACAACGTCGGGAACCCTGTCGTTAACGGACCCTTATGCCGAGCTTACCTCTTCTTGATCATCCAAGGCCCCCTTCAAGTGCTCCATGTTCCCCCTGCTTCTGTTTCCGATCTTGAACATTGTCCCCTTCTGCTTGCTGTCTCCATATCACTTCTTGGCTTTGGGTGTTACCACCCCACGCTACCTACTACCAAGGGACAAGTGTATTGACTCCTCTATATAGACCAAATGCTGTCCTACTCAGCTCATCCCATCTATCCACCTATCTCATATGGTCCTCCCGATGACCTGGGGCACGGTGCGGGTGCTATGACACCCTCCGATGTCTCCTCTTCCATCTCACCTCCAAACGGCCATATCAACCACAGCAAGTACAGCACGCAGATTCCTGGCGATCACCTTGCTTCCGCCCTTGGCCAGGAGGAGGGCGTCCGCCGTGCTGCCGAAGAAGACCGGCGACGCCGCAATACGGCTGCCAGCGCCCGGTTTCGCATGAAGAAGAAACAGCGCGAACAGGCCCTCGAACGCACCGTGCGCGAAACCACCGAAAAGAACGCAACTCTCGAGGCGCGTGTAGCGCAGCTCGAAATGGAGAACCGCTGGCTGAAGAACCTCTTGACCGAAAAGCACGAAGCCAGCTCGACTCGCATGGCTCCTCCCCCAACTGACAGCACAGCCTTGGCCTCCCAAGGTACCAACGCTACTGGCCCCGGGCAAAAACATATTCAGCCAAAAAAGAAGGGCGTCGGGACCGACAACTGAAGTCAAAGAAAAGAAGTTGCCTCCTTGATTCCTTTCTTTTTTTGAGCTTCTTTTTGCCTTGCTTCATCGTCCTCAATCATTTCGATATTTACATAGTACCTGCGTGGATCTCCATGGGTCTTCTTTTGTATGGGCGTACTCACAGACTGAGTGGCCCGTCGCATCTGTTTTCGTTTCCCTCTTTTAGGCTGGTTATCCATCCTAGGATGGAGTCAGATGACGATGTAATGACTTGTTTCCTATGTTCTTCTATCTCCTGTTTGTGTGCGCGAAGGTGAGGGTTTGTGGGTAGTCTTCAGCCTGGTTCGGTTATTTCTCAAGGGCCATGGACATGGTTTCAGTTATGGTTGTTGTTGTGAGCTTTCAGCGGGCCGTGGGTCAGGGATAGAGTCCTCTGAACCCCTTATACATACATACGTGCCCCCGCAATCGGAGTACTGGGAAGGGTTGCTTGTTCATCTCTTGTGTTTTCTGTTGGTGTTGGTGTTGTTGTTGCTGTTAAACGCATTGACCAGCCCACGTGCAATTGAGTGGTCTTGAAGATTCGACTCTTGTACACGGTGTTTCAGACTCATACTACTATCATCTATCTACTATATGCCGAATGGGTTTCAGCCGAGCCCAAGTGCCAGAATGAACTGCACGGCTTATTTCTACAGACCAGCGAATTATCAGAGAAGCCGTAGACGAGACAAATTGTCTTTGACTGACGGCATTCAGCCACAGTCCCTAAGCATGTAGTCCTAGTAAGTAATCTCTATAAGGCAACAAAGACAAGGGTCACATGGTTGCTGCGCCCAATACCACCAATCCGGGGAATCCGGCCGCTTGGTGGCTCCCCCTCCCTCCCGACCGGCCGCCCCGACCGCCACTTCTTCCGTCCGTGACATCACCCCCTAATTTTACTGCCTAAGGAAGCAAACTAGAAAACTAAGTACAGGCAACTTATCCAAGCCCGGCTGATCTTTACTCCGTGATGATTCCAACATCTACAAAGTAAACAGTCTTCCTTTTAAACTCATTTTATTCCTCTTGATAGACCCATACAGTTACTGCTGTCTACGAATACATCAGATCTAATTTATTATTGTACTTTTGCATACTACTAGTATCTTATCCTTATGAAACTATGTACTAAGTACTACATACAGTAAGACCCGATCGATCGATCTGAGAAGGTACTAAGGTCACTTTAGTAAATAAAAAGTATTGATTTGAGGAATGACGTGATATGGAGAGATGGTCACGATTTTGTTTTACTAAATTAAAATTGTATTGGACGTGGGGGTGGGTGTCTTTTGTATTTCACCTTATTTCTTTTGGTTCGTAAGTTGCTTTTTGGCTCGTTTTTGAGGGGTAGTGTGGTGTGCTTGGTTTGTAGGCTGTAAATATGATGACTACTACTGCTGCTGCTGCTGCTGCTGCTTAAGTTGACCTGGTTTTACGTGCTTCTATGTAGACACAGGCTTAGCTGTGACTGCACTTCTCCGTAGGAGTCGTTTAATAGAATATAATAAGTATAGACCATTGCACAGCTCATTAACAAGTTCATTAAGTACCTACTACTCCTATCCCAAAACACAGAGATTCAAACCACGAGCACAAGACGAACTCAAGGATTGCACCAACTATAAATACTCTGTCTTTCTTCTCTCTCTGCTCCGTCCTCCTCGCAGGTGGTATAGTAATACATTAATCAGTTCGACAGTAGAGTAAGTTCCCCTTGGACCCGGCCATGTCTCTTTGGATCGCGAATATTCCCACCACGTGTGTCGGGTTTCATTTCCTTCATCAATAGGGGAATAATCTCGATGACTAGTGTCGGGACATGCGTCGTCAGGGAGTATATTAATCGTAAGGTAACGGAAAACTCGTTAGGGGTAAAAAGAAATCACAAAAGGCATCAAGGAAGAACGACAAAATCATATCGAGCGGGAATCTCAAACCGCAAATATAGAGACAAAGATGAGAGTATTGATCAGTAACTTGGCGGTCTCAATGATCGTATATGATCCACCAAGGTAAGCTGATCTTCACCACTTTCTCATCCTATTTAAACAGACACCGTGACGGGCTCCCGCTCCTCTTCTCGACCCCGCGACTCTCCGTCCACAGTGCTGGCCACTTCCTCACCATCCTCTACCTCGTGCTGGTAGGTCGCATGCTGATCCGCGGGCACCCAAGAGTCACGGCCCATGGGCTGGTCCTGGCCGGAAAGATCGACGCCTTCACGGCCCTTGAGGGTCTCACGGTGACGCTGAGACAGGGTGCGCGAGCGCTGGGAGAGAGCGGGCTTGACCGACGCCTTGGAGGTGACCCAGTTGGCGAGGGCTTCCTCACAGTCCTGGATGATGGCCTTGCTGGCGTCATATCCATCATAAGCATGGCGAGTCTCGCCTGGAGTAACCGGCGTGTCATCGACCAGGTCCAGGAGGTGCTTGCCGTATCCAGCGATGAGAGCCACCTTTTCACAATGCTCCCTGAGTGCATCGAACTGGTACTGGAAGGCTGCCTTGAGCTTCTCGCGGGTGATGTTGGAGAGCTGGGCTTCAGCCACGAGGGATTCGGCCTCTGCACGGACAAGCTCTTGCTCTAGAACGACGATGCGGGGAGAGTTGGGGTCCTTGTACTTGAGCTTAGCAATCTCATCGGTGATCTTCTGCTTGCCTAGAAGCGTATGCATGTTAGAACTAAAAATCGGTAATAGGACAGAAATCACATACGGTCGCGGCTGGGCTGAACCGAAGCCTCAATGTTGCGGATGCTCTTGATGGTGACACGGTACTGGTCATAGCGGTCGACGAAGAGGTCTTCCAGTTCACCAATCTCGTAGAGCAAGACTCCCAGCTTGTCAGTGACGTCAGAAACATCTTCGTCGCAGTTTTCACCCCAGATGGAGAGTTGTTGCTGCCAGCACCCATGATTAGTCCTCGTGTCTCCCAAGAAGTTGAATCGCTAGACATACAGCAGTTTCCATACGCTCCCTAGAAACCATCTCCATGCTGCGCATGACGTTCTTTTCCATCTTCACCAACTGGGAAAGCTTCCTGGCAAGGTCGGGCCCGAAGGCGCCAGCCGTGTTCTTGCGCAAGGCATGACCTGAATTGACATTGTCAGTTTCATCATCATACAAGGCTCAGCTTGTTCTCAGCAGATAGTGGTTGTCTAGCCCCCCCTAGCATAGGGAGTGACCAGAGCCATTGATCTCCATCCAGGACAAAGATCCAACATTCTTGGGGATCACTCACCAAAACCACCCTTTCCAAAGATTCTGTTTGTCTTGGTGGAAGACAATGGCGGAGGAGGGTTCTCAATCTGCGAGGCCGTCGGCAGGCGCGACTGGCGCATAGAATAGGTGCGATGCATGGCGAATTGTCCGAGTGCGAAAGGCTAGACACAAGGGATGAAACGAAAGAATAGAGAAGAAAGCCACCAAGGTTGGCTGCAAATCGGACGAGGCGGTATCTTTCAAGAGATTCTTTGCGCAGGAGTGACGTGTGTCAGGAGGGCGCGACGGGATGCGACGGAAGAGGGATCAAGGCGAGAGGGGTGGGCAATGCAACGGGTCCGAGATCGAGACACGAGATGGTCCAAAGTGGGAAAGGTGGATGAGTGGTGATGATGGTAAGGAACCACGCTTGAGAGTCGATGAGCAGATGGATCAATGACACTTGCGAAATTCCTTCACTTGAGCCAGAGGGGGGGGGGGGGAAAGAAGTGGGCTTTTGGGTGCTTTTTCCCCTTTGAAGGCTGGGGGAAGAGTGGAGCGAGTTGGGCTGGAAATGAAATGAACTGCTTGTGGTTGCAACTCTAGAGTCTCGTTCGTGACGTCGAGACTAGACCAGCACTAAACCCGATTGAGAGGCTCCAGTATTACAAGGTGAAAATCAGGCAGTAATTTTGGTTGATCACGAGCAACGCAAGGCGATTGGCAAATTTTCTCTTTGCAATTAACTTCAATCCAGAGGAACCGGAGGAATAACCTATTAGGAAAATTAAGGGGATTCGCAGGGGAACTGGGATCATCTCTCACTGCAAGCTTCATATATACCCATTCTTTTTTTCTTTCTGGTTTCCCCGGAACCCGCGACGTCATCACGACCCAAAGAATCCGCTCAAAAATAACTGATGTCATCGATTTTTGGTCCCTCGATCAGTCCAACAGATGAAGCGAAAGTTTGACCAACTCGTCAATGTCATACAGAGTTTGAGCTATTCTCATATGGTGATGGTGTCTGTTTTGTGGCTTGCTAGCTACGTTTTCTTTTCATTTGTCTCATGCCCACAATGATCTAAACTTATTGATTTCTTCTTCTCATTCTAGGTAGATGTCCTCTACAGAACCGCCCCGATGGCTGGCTCGAGCAATTCCACCAGAAACCCCCTTTTCGAGACACACGATGGAAATGATCAAGGCGATAGTCCAGACCGCTGCGGGACTATAATTTAGTCTCATATAAACGTACAGATAGTAGGTCCAGATAGTGCCCATCGCCTAGGTGATCGCCGTCTCCGCATTCGGATCGCCCAGGACCAGAACTCCTGGAACTCGGGTCCAGCGGCACTTGCTTAGTGATTCTGCAACATCATGACGAACGGTGGGGGGCCCTTGTTCATCTCCCGTCAACACATGATGTTATGCAGAGTTTTTCTCGTCCTTTTACCTATGGCTAACAAGCTCTTGTGACACAGGCACTTATACCCCTTTTAGATGAGATTCGGCAGTAGCTCACGCCAGGTTTTGTACTTTTTTTTGACGCTCCGGGTCACTCAAGTCATATCGTCACCAGGAGTTACACCCTCGATAACTCTGCCCCACAGGTCCTCAGTCAAGACGGCTTCCCAATGGGGGTGACGAGTTAAGTCTCAAGCTAATCTTCTCAAGCTTGAATATAAGCCTGTGGAGTCCATCTGCTGTCTCAGCATGGACCGCATTCTGTTAAGCTGGTCTTGTTAGCGCTTCCCACCCACCCGATGCAGCAGCTACTTGTGTACAAAGTACAATTTTCCAACCCTTTACACGGCTACTACTGCCCTTGTTCTCCGTTCAATGTGTTTTTACCCACACTTCACAATTAGCCCCTCTTACACGTCTTAATCTTATCTTGTGTAGTATGTTGCCGTTATTGTGTGTCATGCAGAATTCTCGTGATAGTCGGCTGAAGCATTGCGGCTTCGTCCTATTACTTAGCCCACTTTTCGATACACACACAGTAATTTGCAGCTACACAGAGTAGAAGCAACAAAGTAGAAGCAACAATATGCATCCGAAGAGTGACAAGTGATCTCAA